AGCAGCGGACAGGGAGACAAGTCCGATCTTATCAAAGTGGAAAACGTCTGCGCATCAGGGGCGCTGTCCACAGAGGGAGAAGGCCACCGGGAAAGTCTGCAGATCTTGTATCTACGAGGGGACTGACGTCCGGAACACGAGAAAATGCCTGTAACAACCCAACCCCCTTCTGATTGAACACGGGCAAGGGTCTCGCATGGGCGTTTCTCTAAAACGCTGCAGGTGGCCGACAAGCACATCAACATCGCCGATCATCAGGGAAACGCGGGTCAGAGCAAAAGCGAGGTGCCATTCACATCCCCTACGACGACGGTCATGACGAGGTGCCATTCACATCCCCTACGACGACGGTCATGACGAGGTGCCATTCACATCCCCTACGACGACGGTCATGACGAGGTGCCATTCACATCCCCTACGACGACGGTCATGACGAGGTGCCATTCACATCCCCTACGACGACGGTCATGACGAGGTGCCATTCACATCCCCTACGACGACGGTCATGACGAGGTGCCATTCACATCCCCTACGACGACGGTCATGACGAGGTGCCATTCACATCCCCTACGACGACGGTCATGACGAGGTGCCATTCACATCCCCTACGACGACGGTCATGACGAGGTGCCATTCACATCCCCTACGACGACGGTCATGACGAGGTGCCATTCACATCCCCTACGACGACGGTCATGACGAGGTGCCATTCACATCCCCTACGACGACGGTCATGACGAGGTGCCATTCACATCCCCTACGACGACGGTCATGACGAGGTGCCATTCACATCCCCTACGACGACGGTCATGACGAGGTGCCATTCACATCCCCTACGACGACGGTCATGACGAGGTGCCATTCACATCCACTACGACGACGGTCATGACGAGGTGCCATTCACATCCACTACGACGACGGTCATGACGAGGTGCCATTCACATCCACTACGACGACGGTCATGACGAGGTGCCATTCACATCCCCTACGACGACGGTCATGACGAGGTGCCATTCACATCCACTACGACGACGGTCATGACGAGGTGCCATTCACATCCACTACGACGACGGTCATGACGAGGTGCCATTCACATCCACTACGACGACGGTCACGAAGGCCCGGGGATAACACGCGCTGATGCGGGCGTGGGCGGACTGCAGGCTCTGCGCCGTGCCGGGAGTTAAGATGGTGCCGCACTGCGGGCACAGCCTGGCGATGCCCTCAGGGGAGGCACATCCAGCCGTCCCACTTCTGGGACAGGCCCGAAAGAAGGCGCAGGGGCTCAGGCCATACTTGGGCATCACGGTCCCAGCACGTTACTCACGAGGGACAGTGCCACCATGTCCATCACGGGCGGAGGGCAAACCAAGTGGGGTCTATACGTACAACAGGGCATCGTCCAGCCTTGAAAGGAGGGAAATTCTCACGCCCGCTGCGGCCTGGATGAACCTCGAGGCCGTTACACTGAGGGAAACGAGCCAAGCGCCGCAGGACGAATACTGCGAGATGCCGCGTCCGCGAGGTGCCCGGGGGGTCACCTCATGGGCATGGGAAGCAGGGGGGCGGCTTAGGGAAGATGGGCAGTCAGTGCTCCACGGGGACGGAGTTTCAGCTTGGGGGGAAGGAAATTCCAGGAGATGGATGGTGGCGATGGTTGAGCAAGACTGTGAATGCACTTAATGCCACACTTACAATGGTTAAAATGGCAGACTTTATGTTCTCTATATTCTGCCACAATAAGCCATTAAAAATGAAGGGGGAGGTCCAGATAACGGCGGGCACTGACGGGTCGCGCCCAGCCAGCGGGCGAGCTCAGGGGAGCACCGACGAGGCACCGATGCTTGGACGTGAGGGGCCCGGCTGGCGCTGTGTGTTTAGAAATGTTACTTTTCGGCCTGAGGTCATTTAAACAGGCCTTGGCGGTTCCAGGCTTCCCCGAAGAGGCCTCTGTGTGGGAGGCAGAGCCGAGGATCCTGGAAGGTGGAGTGTCAGCTCCTGTCTGGAGGGGCGGCAGGGCAGAGGGGGAGGGAATAAATCATCGGGGTGCCCGGAGATGGCAGGGTACCCAGAAAAGAGTTTCCGTTTTCGCCCACTGGACTGCATTTTAAGCCCCTCTGGAAAGTGATCTAACAAGGTTTTTTGTTCCCACTCATTTGGATCACATGGGGAGGACGAGCAAAAGCCCAAGCGGGCCCCGGGCCCCAGGCCCCGCCCGGCCCGCCCGGCCGAGAGCACCGCGAGAATGTACGGCTTCCCGCAGCCCGCGTTCGGCCTGCGGCCGCCGCCGTTCTCAGGACAGAAGGAAATGATGTAGCTACAGGTCCCGACCCTCGGAAAAGCTCAGGGGCCATCTTCTGTCACTGGTGTCAGCGGCTGAGGGAAGGCACAGGGGACAGCCCCCGGGGACGGTCCTGGGGACGGCCGTGAGGCTCTGCCTGTGGGCTTGCGGGCCTCACTAGCCCACACCGTCCCCGTGGGCTCCTGTCTCGGACGGAGCCGCGTTCGTGCAGAAAGACACCCGAGAGACAGCTCTACCTGCTTCATCTCAAAGGGCCAGAAGCTGCTTCCCAGCGGTTTTCTGAGCTCCCCTCTGTGCCTCCAGTGACCTCGTCTCTAGAATTAAACACGGGAGTAAAGCTGCTTCTGGTCCTGGGGTGTCTCCTGGGGGAGGAGAGGGACAGCTGTGTGTCCGGCAGGCACAGGGCTCGCTGTCCCGTAGCGTGGCTCTGGGGCCGCAGAGCGTGCCGGTGGGACCTGCCAGCACCTGCTGCCCGCTGGAGCCGTGGGCTCTGTCTACCTGGGATCCCGCCAGGGGCCAAGGCCTTTAGACCTGTAAGGACACCGGCGGACCTTGGCCTGTGTGGCCCGGGTGGAGGGCGTCATCCGTGCAGCAAGGGCTGCCAGCTCCGTTCCCGGGGAGGCAGGAGGCAGCCGGTCAGTGTTCCACTCTCACGTCGACGTTTCTCTCTCCCTCTCCCTTCCTCTCTCTCTAAAATCAATAAAAAATCTTTAAAAAAAGACATCAGAGGGTGATGAAAAACTAGGGATATAATGAAATGCCTCATTCGGGGCCTGTTCTAAGCAGAGTTTTACCTGCTCAAATGGGAGGTGGTGGAGGAAAAGCTAAGGGGAGCCCTTTGAAGGGCGTGGCTCCCTCTGAGCGGAGTGAGCCCCACGGGGCCAGCTGCTGGTCAGGCAGGCGAGGGCCTGCAGCCTGAGACCACGCAGGGCGGGCTCGGCCTCCTCCCTCCGCCCGGCCACCTACTTGACTTGCTGTCCCGTCCTGCCGACCTCGGAGGGCTGCCTCATGTCACAGGACCCGGGCATCATGGGCTGAATCGGCTGGCTCAGCAACAGCCTTCAGGCAGAGGAGACAGTGGGGCTGATCAGCGCCAGGCCGCAGGCTTGCTGGGCGCTGGTGGCGTCCGCCAGCCTGGCTGGGCCCGGTGGCCTGACCAGACCCCTTTGCCCACTCCGTTCACAGCAGGCCACTTTCTCGGGCCGTCAGGCCCCCACCCTCTCTTGCCTCTGCGTTAGCGGAGATCAACCGCAGAGGCTTCAGCCCTGAACTCTGCCTCCATCTACAGCAGGCAGGGGCTGGAATGAACAGCCTCGAGCTGGCCTCAGTCACCTTCTGAACAAGGAAGGCTCCCTACCTGAGCTGCCGGTCCTGGCCGAAGTCGGGGCTGGGCGGGCCCTGGCTGGCGCCCGGGGAGTGGGGAGCCGGTGTGGTGAGGCTCTGAGCGGCTGGGAGCACGAGCTGGGGCCTCGCGCTGCCCGCCGGCTGCCGGCTGCCCCGTGGTGGCTGCATGCTTCTCACTGGGTTGGGACCCTGGAGCAGTATTTTAATGAGAAAAGTAAAACCCATACTCACCTCAGGTGTCACCTCTCCAGGAGCCCTTCCCAGACTTCTTTCCTCAACACTCCCTGGCCTTTCGTCTAACTTAGGACCGAATGACTGTCTTCCCCACTGGATTGTAAGCGCCTCAAGGATTCTTCAAATCCTGGGGCCTAGGACAGTGCCAGGCTCTCAGGAGACAAGTTAGAGGTGTGTGTGTTGAACTGAACAACTTTCTGCTTCAAAAATTCCACTCCAGACACAGGGGCCCGGGGCCTTCTCCTGCCCCAGGGCCTTTGCACTAGCTGACTCCTCCAACCGCAATGCTCTTCGCCCCAATACCAATGCGCCCTGTTCCTACCCTCCGGTCTTTGCTTCAGTACCATCAGTGAGGCCTTCCCGGGCCACCTGGTGAAACCTCCTGACCCCCGCCGTCACCAGCATCTGCTTCGCTGGCACTCTCACCTATTTGCTTCTCTCCCCCCTTGGACCAGAGACTGTTTTTCGTTTCTTTCTGGTCACTGCTGTCCCTCGGTGCCCAGAACCTAGTGCCTGGTGTACAGTGAGTGCTCAGCAGACACTTGTCGAGTGGAACGATCAGTGAGTGAGGGGATGTGCTTGGGTTTGCTCTGGGCTTTCTACTGTTTCACAGGATGGCACCACAGCGAGTTCTCAGAGCGTCTCCGAAATCTCTGGAGTGTCAATCCTGACTCGGGTTTTCCTGGCTTTTCTCAGCTATTATTTTTTTCTATTGACCTCTAGAACCAAAAGGCTATAAAGTAAAACTCTTAAATTTGGGTGAAGATGGGCTAAACTCGCTCATCCCACATTTTCTTGTATGTTATCTGTTTATGTCCTCGAGGTCAAGGACGCCTCCCATCCATCTCCGCGGCCCTGGGGGCTGGGGGCAGGGCTCGGCAGAGGTGTACTGGCCCACAGCCACGCGCGAGCACAGGGCCTGGGAGGCGGGGGCTGGCACCTTCCGGAGCCGGCCCAGGGCACCTTCCTCCAGCGCCACCCCAGCGCTATTGCTGTCTGCTGACTGGCGAGCTGTCCGGAGGCGAGGTCCCTGGTAGCTTCCAGTTAGTGGTAATGGCTGTGAGGAAAAGGCCTGGAAGGGAACCTGGGGGACCAGGAGCCTGCTGCCCTGGGACAAGGACAGTGAGTGGGAGCGGTCACCTGTGTTCTCACGGAGCGTGGCGAAAACCAGGGCAGAGGATGGGCACGCACGTGTGGGGACTCGGGTGGGGTGGTTACCTGGGTGGATATCACGCTGGATTCTCTGAGCAGGTGCTGGTTTGGGACCTGGGCAGAGGCGAGCTGCCCTGGCAGCCGAGGGCTGGCGGCGAGTGGGGCCTGCGTCCCCGGGGCCACCCTCTGCGGGAGCTGAGGTGGCGCGTGGGGCCGCTGGGTGCTGCTGAAGCTCAGGGACACAGCTGGCGGCTGCAGAAGCATCTGGAAGCACAACAGGAATGGCTTTAAGGTGGGGTCACTGGGCCTCTGCAGCTCTGTACTTGCCTCCTCGGTCCACAGAAAGAGGTCAGCGCTCTCGCTCTCCCTCTCACTGGACACGGAGACACTAAGTGCCCAGAGGCCGCCGCCCAGCGCAAGGTCCCCGAGACGGAGCCCAGCCAGAGGGGGACGCGCCCCCACCTCAGGGGGTATTGTCCTGCGACGGGCTCTCAGTGTCAAGACGCGCAGGACCAGGTGGCCTATCAGTAAACTGATGTACGTATCCCTGAAACTAATACAAAATCATGTTGAATATAAACTGTAAATGAAAAATGAAATAAATAATAAATTGATGTACTCGCATAGAGTCTAGGCTGGCTTATCAGTTTGTTATTAGACGTGAGAACTATCTCGTGAATGACCTGATGAGGGGGCAGGGGCTGGCTGACCTGCACTCAGACTTGACTCTCTGACAGCGACCAGGGCCTGCACCGGTGTCCGAGGGCCCCTCCCACCCAGCGCTCCCAGCGGGGATGCAAATCTGCTCCGCCGACCAGGTGACCGCCCCAGGAGGGCGGCGGGCTGCAGAGACGATGACGTCACACAAGCCTCCCAGCCCGGTCCCGCCTGTGCACACGTCCTCAGACGCCTAAGAGGCGTGGGCCTCGAGCCTGATGCTATAATTGGAAAGGTTTAGGAGAATTTGATCAAGTCTCTAAAGAGTGTTGAAATGTTTGTGAGGGCTTTGATCTACCTTGTTTATAAATTTGGTGTATTTGATTTAAAAGAATTGCCCAGGTGCTTTCAAAGACTATGCTTCTTAGACTTGTGTATGCCTTGTTAGGTATGTGAAATGTTTGAAAGATTTAGATATATTAAATTGAGAAATTAATGGCCGTGGTAGGTAATGTTGATTATTTACAATCTGTTACATTTATAAACAAATTGAACATAAATAAATACAAGTAAAAACATTGCTTCTTTTAGACCAAATTAGTAGATTTGTAAATAAAATATAATCTGCAACTTGACTCTAAAAGCTTAAGAAAAACCTTTTGATAGTTTTAATAATTTAAGCTTAGGACCTGTAACTAGCCCTTTTTCAAAAGCTTCTCTGGGGCATTCAGAACAGTAACTGGCGTTTGCTCAGGTAGCACATGGAGTAAAAAGCCATCCAGTGTTATCTCTGCATTCTGACTCTTGATAAAGTGCTCTGCTCCATGTTAGGCTTTGCCTTTGAATTTTCAGGGGAGGGCCCTTTCTGCCAGCCAGCATCTGGAATTTCAACCCCAATTCCTGCACTCGGGGCAGTGCAGCCATGTACTCATGACAGAACCTAGGAGCCACACGTGGTGAGTGGTTTGGGAGGGTGGATGCGGAGCCACACCAGGTGCGGCTGGGAGCACGCAAAGACCAGGAGCTCAGTGTCTCGCTCAGAGGTGAGCTCAGCGTGTCCCAGAGGCTGAGCTGGCCTAGGTTTCCATCAGGTGCCCCTCCCACCACACCACCTGGGCTCCCCACTTTCCTGCCACAGGTCCAGCCCTAACAGAGGAGTCTGCAGTTTGTTATGAGGGCTCTTTGTCATTTTAGAAGTTAAAAGAATTTTCTGGGCATCCATCATCTCAGATTCAGCATCCACTGAGTATAGATTCGGTCTGAGGGTGAGTTCTTTGTGTAATCCCAGTGACCGATCATACTATGGCTGGTTTATAGACAGAGGGTGACTCACACTTCAGCACTTCAGCAAAAAGCCAATGTCAACCCAATAACATACATTTTTTTCTGGTAGGATGCAATTTGCTTTCTGATTATAGGTCAAATAAATACAGTCTTTGTTTATGACAGGCTATACTCTAGCTTAAGTCAGATATACCTTAGCTCAAATTCCAACCCCACCATGTACTAGTGGTATGACCTTGGGTGATATTCATAACTTTTCAAAGCCTTAGTTTCCTCTAATAAAACAGTGACACTAACAGCACACACCTCACAGCAGCACACACCTCACAGCAGCACATAGGCTTGGTTTGCTACTGTGTCTCCTTAATGTATGGTTTCATCCTGTTTGTCTCTGTATCCCCACAGTGCCTATCCAATGCCTGAGTGTCTGCCAGATGGATGGATGGCGGGTGGATGGGTGGAAGGTGGATGGATGGATGGATGGTGGGTGGATGGGTGGAAGATGATGGATGGATGGTGGGTGGATGGTGGATGGATGGGTGGAAGATGGATGGATGGGTGGAGGATGGATGGATGGATGGTGGGTGGATGGGTGGAAGGTGAATGGATGGATGGTGGGTGGATGGTGGGTGGATGGGTGGAGGGTGGATGGATGGATGGTGGGTAGATGGTGGATGGATGGGTGGAAGATGGATGGATGGGTGGAGGATGGATGGATGGATGGTGGGTGGATGGTGGGTGGATGGATGGTGGGTGGAAGGTGGGTGGATGGATGGTGGGTAGATGGGTGGAAGGTGGATGGATGGATGGATGGTGGGTGGATGGGTGGAAGATGATGGATGGATGGTGGGTGGATGGTGGATGGATGGGTGGAAGATGGATGGATGGGTGGAGGATGGATGGATGGATGGTGGGTGGATGGGTGGAAGGTGAATGGATGGATGGTGGGTGGATGGTGGGTGGATGGGTGGAGGGTGGATGGATGGATGGTGGGTAGATGGTGGATGGATGGGTGGAAGATGGATGGATGGGTGGAGGATGGATGGATGGATGGTGGGTGGATGGTGGGTGGATGGATGGTGGGTGGAAGGTGGGTGGATGGATGGTGGGTAGATGGGTGGAAGGTGGATGGATGGATGGATGGTGGGTGGATGGGTGGAAGATGATGGATGGATGGTGGGTGGATGGTGGATGGATGGGTGGAAGATGGATGGATGGGTGGAGGATGGATGGATGGATGGTNGAGGGAGGGAGAACATCCCTTGCTGTTGTTACTGGTGTCCTTCCTGGCACCTCCTTAACAGCCAGCAGAGGGCGCACATGCTCTCAAAAGAAAGCGGCACAGAGCCCTCCTGCAGAGCACTCCCTCGGGAGCCTCTTTGTGACTGCAGCTGGGTGCAAACGCAACAGGACTCTCCCTCATCACCCAGCCTTTAAATAAGCCCACACTCAGCAGCACCCAGGCACACACAGCCCCAGTGAAGGCTCCGAGCCTACGGTGAGGTAGGCAAGCCCACTGAGTTAGGATAAAGGGCCCTGTTGGGGCAACTCGGGTTTGCTGCTGTGCACAGCCCGCCCCTGTCAACAGCAGGGTAGAATTTTATGGCTCGAGAGGGTGACCTCTTCAAAGGGCCCCGGGGTCCATTTTACAGAGAGCATGAGAGAAACAGTTCCTGAACTCAAGTGGAAAATCATCAGAGAAAACCCGTACTTCTGATTTTCAAGAACAAGCCCGTCCTACACGCGCGTGGTTCCCTCCTTACCTGCTCCCTCTGCGAGGCCGGCCCTCCCAGGGCCTCCCAGAGGCGCCCACGCATCGTCACCGGCCTCAGCAACGCCCACGCTTTGCCACTGTTATTTAACCCGCCTGCCCACTTTTTGGGGGGAGTAGAGTGATTTTTACTTGTTTTTCCTTCTGATTGAATCATAGAGGTTTTTTCCTAAACAGTATCACACTTTGGCTAAAATTTTGGAAGGTATTCCTTTAAATATCTAAACTTACAAAAATACAAGGAAGGCTGCTGGAGGAAATGCTCTCTGGCTGGTTATCTGTGGGTTTTCATAGTCTCTGGAAAATTCCACTGCAAAGCTAAGGTCACAGGGATGAGCACAGAGCCGGGCGGGCGGAGGCAGGGCGAGGGCCGGATTCCCACGCCCCCGGCCCACAGAGCGCACTGGCCACGCGAGGAGCGATGGCTCGGCTGCCGTCAAGTGAGAGGCAGCCTAGAGCGAGGCTCTGGGGAGGGTGTTCCCTGCCAGCCTCGCTTCCCGAGTTTCCTGCTCCGTCCCCCCTTCCTAGTGGTGCACAGACTCCAGATCATCGGGTCGGGCAAGTTCCACCACTCAGACCCTGGATCAGTAAGAAAAGATTGCAACTGGGCAAGAATCAGTAAGCAGGGACTTCGACACCTCAGTGGTCCATTTCTTTCACCCCACCAGTTTCGGGGTGTCTCTGAGGAGGTGGGGCTGGGGAGAGCGGCAGGGCTCTGGGGGCGGCTGTGGCTTGCTCGGCACAGGTACACAGGACTGGGCGACACTGCGCAGGAGGCTTGAGCCTTGCTGACCGCTGGCCTCTTGGGGGAGCCAGCCCTGGGCACAGAGGGATGTGCAAGGGCACCTCTGGGAGCCCAGGGACCCAGGACAGCTTGCCCCGGGGCCCCCACCGCCCAGTAACCTCACACCGTGTGCGTCACTCTCAGGGCCCGCCTCTCTTGCTGTCTCTTGGGAGCTGTGTGGCCAGTGGGGGGTCCGCGTGGACAGCGAGGGGCATGGGCAGGGACAGAGCTCCAGCCGTTTCCCCAGGTGTCTGCTCTGTTTCCTGTTTCTCCTGAGGGGGTAGAAAGGCTTAGAGCTTTCAGGCAGATTCCCAAGTGAGCTGGAATTACATTTACAATGAAAGGCTGGGTCAGAAAAGGGCACTTTGGAAGGAAAACAGCCCTGGACTGACATAGAGACACTTGGTTAAAAATAATTCATCCTTGAAATAGAGCCAACATACAGAGTTTCCTCCAAGAAGAAACTGCAAAGGATTCAAAGACGTGACGACGGGGGTTGCAGTTAAAGGCTGCTGCTGTGAGAGCGCGGGGTGCCCGGTGCTGCCCCCCAGGGTGCATGTCCCCCCGCCTGCCTGCAAGGAGAGGGAGCCGCAGCTGCCTCCGGGGCTCTGGGGGCAGCCTGGGCGGGTGCGGGGGAGCGGCGACGGGCGCAGTGCACACCCGCGGGAGGGTGGCTGCCTTCAGTGCAGGGCGGCTCGCCTCCGGCCTGGGAAGGAGAATGCGGGTGGGGCAGCAGATACGTGCCGACCAGGGGGGCGAGGCCGGCGTCATGCGAACCTCAGGCCGGCCGGCCCGGAGCTGGGACGGGGCCCCTTCCCGGGCTCTGCCTTGAGGGCTCGGCAGGCTCGGCAGGCAGGGCCCGCCAG